TGTCATACAATATCAGAAAAGTTCAACCTAACAAATGAAAGTTGATCAAATAGGATAAGAGGAAACACTGAAGAAAGGAGGTAAAGCTTCTCCAAAGACAGTTATCAACTCCTTCTTGATTCATAGTGTCCTTTGATTTTTCAGAGAACTCTTCCGTCCTTACACATAATGTTCTACATATTAAAACACAACTTAGAAATGTTACTTGGTTACACAAAAATATTGACACTTGACAAAGTTTCTTAAAGTTAATTGCTACTCCAAAAGTAGTCAAATTAGAACCTGAAAAGTTTTTAATAGAAGTTTTTGTAATGACAACACATCTCCAAATTGTCTGTCAAGTAATATCCATATAAAATATACATTTCACCCACTTAAATTATTGAAAACAAGTTAAGGAATTTTTTATAGTTCTTTGAGATACAATTTTTTCATCTACCTTAAATTCTGATTAAGTAATTTTCAAAATTTTTGAAGCTATGGGCAGATGAAAACTATTGTCAGTCTTCAGAAGCAACTGGAAAAGCAAAGCAGAAGCAGTTTTATGTGCAAACAAATAATTTACCTTTCAAAGCCTTATTAATAGACACAATTTAAGATAGAAAATTCACACTGATGGATGTGTAGGGGCAGACAGGGATACTTAAACATATCAAGCCTGATTCCACTCTTATTTATTCCACTGGCTTCAGTGTACTGACTTCCAGCGGTGACACAAAGAGGCAAACTGGATATTAAATGACATTCAGAACAAGATATATTACTATAATTACTTCAGTAAATTTACTTCTCTATGTGAAACAGTAATTGTAATGACTGCATCAAGTTAGAAAAGCAATATTGAAGCTTCCCAAACAAACCAAATTTTTAATTGCACCTGAAAATACCAACTGCAGAAAATTCTGTGTATTTTTCAACAAGAAGAAGAGACCAGCTTTGGATGTTTCAAAATAACTTCTATGCTCAGCAATGTATAAAAGAAAGAAAAAGTGTAAGAAAATATTAAGTGTATAACATTCTCACTTTTTGAGGAATATTTACTTTGTACTTCATAGCAAAGTGGAAGAAGATTCAAATTTACAATAAAAACTTTAGTTAAAATGATCTTTGAACCATACACTTACAAGTTTTCTTAGTCTAAAATTAAGGCTTCCCACAAAGCCAATATGGTTAGTTATTACAGATTTTCAAATGTGGTTTCTTATCATTTTAGGGGTTGAGAAGTGGTGTGGGGCACACAAAAAAAAACCCAAATCTCTGGAAGTGTTTCAAAACAGAATGCTTTACTTCAAATATATCAAACTAAGGTCATCATAGCACAAAGGAATTCTGGTCCACTTTTAGAAAATTATAATAAAATTCATAATCTGAAAGATATTACCATGAAGTCAATATTAATTCATTCAATTAAATTAATTAATAATTGAATACTAATTCAGTCAATCAATATTGACTTGTCAATATTTTTGTGAGCTATGTACCTTTCAGCAGGAACGTCAGCCACATTACACTTTGTCTATTAGGATGATATAAGTCATCAAAATTGGTTTATTATTTGATCTGAGTTTTCTTAAGAGATGGTGACAAAATAAAGCAGGAGAAGTGAATTCTGGTACTTATTTATCTTTTTTTTTTCATTAAAAGATGAACAAATAATCTACTCAGTTGCTTAAACATCAGTGTTTACTAGAATTTCAGATATTTTGCATAACCAAATAATGGGCTACAAGGTACAACACAAGACTTGTGTGAAGCCTTGGATTTGTACCTATAGCTAGGATTTGTACCTATAGCTAGGCAATACATCCCACAATTTAAGAAGCTGGATCACACTTTGAGAGTGTGCTGAAGCATTTCAACCAAAATAAGACAGTTTGCAAATATGAACTAGCTTTGTATGTTCTTTCTTCTATTTCTTGAACATTCTTTACAATAGTCAAATATGATTCTCAGGGGAAACCACCTTTTCACTCTTGCTCACTCAAACCTGTGAAACTATGTGTGCGAAAACAGAGATATGCTATGTGTCATTAGACCTATTTAAGACTTAACAGAGTTAGTACATAATCAAATATGTTTTCTAGCTAATAGTCTTTGTAAATCCGGGAATAGCACGTTCTGATCTTAGAAATACCCATTTTTTTTCCTGAGAACATACAGTCTATCATTATCAAGCTCCTAGACTTCTCTGCTTTGAAGCACTTTTTACACTGGTTACCTGTTAGAGTTCAAAGAACAGATAATGTGAAACAGTCATGAATTATTTTTTTCCCCAAAGAAGACCCTAGAGATACTATTTATATTCACTGCATAGAATTATGTGTTATCACAAGCACACTCTCAAATCTAAAACAAGTAAAAAGGAAGAAGAATAAGACAAATAAGAAGGTGTCTTTTTTGTGCCAAGTTCTGTGTAATACCTTTACCTTCTAGAGGCTCACTCTGGGAGAAGAACAAACCCCAAACTCAAACAGCTGTTAAATAAGCACAAGAGAAAACCAGAAGTGCTGTATAAAAAGGTCAAAATTGTTCTTTTGGCTTTGTGATTTGACTAGCACAGAGCAGAATAGGAAGGAGTGGAACCTAAGATGTCAAGTAAGGAATACAGTCAACACTTAAGCTTACTTCAGCAAAATGGAGCACAGGAGATAAGTAGTGTTGGCTAAGGACTGCTGAAGAATGTAAAGAAAAGGCGTAGATTTGTAAATTCCTGTGGAAAAATATTGTTTATTTGTTTTTTTAGGAAACTGTTATTATAGGAAAGAAGAAAGAATAGTAAACTAAATGTGGACCAGGAATACCAGTGGAACCAGGACAGGCAAAAGACTATAGAGCAGAAATATAACACCATAACAAAGAATTTGCGCTTTTTCTTTCTTCCTTCCCACAATGGTTTCATCTATTTATGCTATACCATATTTTGTAACAGAGTCCTTTAGACAAACAGCCTAAAAGGATTTCAGAAGGCAGCAGAAAGTTTCATGAGAAATTGGCATAATATGTGGGCACATCACAGATCTCTGTATCATTACAGGTAAAAAGAAAAATAAAAATGTGACGGTAAAGTAGAACATAGATATTAATCTTAATTTATTTTCTATTACTTAATATTACCCTCCCAATTAAATATTTTTTAATGTATTTTCTGTCATTTTACTTTGGAGAAAAGATCAAGATATTTTTTATGTTGCTCTTGGTTACTCCCCAGTGCCATATATCAGAAAAAATTGCATGTAAATAGCTAGTGATTAAAGTAGCCAGACATTTAAAAGGAAAAGTAATTGGACCCAAAGGAGATAAAACAGAATGTGATCTGGAAGAGTTAGGTTTTCATATGAGCAACATATAACAAGAAACGCCCATATTACCCTCCCAGGTTGTGACATTTATAAATAATTGCACAAAATGCTGAAATATCCATGGGTATCTAGAAGCATTTTAAGACACTGCTATGTATTTAAACAAAAAGTTTGGGAGATTGGGCAAAACACAGCTAGTGCTTATATTTCCTTTAAAAAATATCTTGCTGATAGGAGCCTCTAGGGAGAGCTTAGGGAAAGCCTCTTTGCCTGAGTCTTTTTGAGGTCCATAGGAAAGGGATTTCATCGGAAATGGGACAGAACCAATCTCTTTTTTTTTCCTTCAGCTTCTCCAAGACTCTAGAGGAAAGGAACTTTTGGGTGTTGCATAGAGGAGCAACATACATTGCTCTAATTTGCTATTAATGCCTTGAAAATATTATATTCCTTAAATAAAGGAAATTAAACCTACTAGCAAATGCTTTTATCTCATATTTACTGTTTTAAACCTGAGGTCTTTTTTTCCCTCCTACATTTGCTACCTATTACTATCTTATTGCTTTCTTTCAGCAGTATATTAAAAAATATGAAATACATCTGTCACTTGTGACTAAAAATCTGGTTCAGCATATTCACTGTACTATCAAGAACACCACAGACAAGTTCATACATTATTTATTCTTGGTAGCATGACAGCAGCCCAGCCAATGCACTGGACAAGGAGCTACAACTTAGCCCTGCACTTGTCTATTCCTGCGCAAGTCCCAGAGCTTATATTCAGGTAGAGTAATAACTTGGGAATGAAACAAGGCCAGGACTTTAACTTAAATGTGGCAGTGCTTTTTACATCTCTGCAGCAACTCCCGCTCTTGGAATAGTTCAAAAATGCCTGGCTGCTTCTGCAATTTAAAGATCTTTCATTTTTAGGTCAGGCTGCCTCACGAGCTACAGACACACAGTAAGCAATTCAGATTAGGAGACACATGCTGTAACTTCTATATAAACAGAGAAGTTTAAAAGGCAAGAAATTCTTCTTTACAGATTTTATTTTTAAACCTCCTGTTGTGATATATAATCCTTATGCTTTACTAAGAAGCTTCTGGAGTATGGCAATACAGATGCAAAACCAGACTTCTGTCACATACCTAACATAAGAGATTTTCAGAATTAAATATCGTAACTCCACATGTGAAATGGTAGAACATCATAGTAAATATCTATATCTAACAAATAGCTAACTCTGGAATTAATTTGTAGTACTTTAAGGGGAGTTCTGCCCATATCCAGATTTGGAAAATATTTTGCAAAATTAATACTCACCTCTAAAAAATTTAAAATCATAAATATGATTTTGCTATTGATTATTCATTGCTTCAGAAAAACAACATTCTCTGGACAGTCAGTATCAACTTGTGGCAATGCTGTATGCAGCACAATGGATTTTTGCTTTTTTTGTTTAAAGGTTAGGTATTGCTTTTTGCTTGAGGGGATTGCTGACAAAGCATTTGGCAGTAGGCACAACACATCTACAGTAAGTAGATCAGAGTATTTTAACTGCAAACATGCTGCAATAAAGTGCCATCATTCAATCAATACAGAACTACTTAGTTAACATTTTTGTTAATGTATCTAGATTACTAGTTCTTTAGATCGTTATCTGATAAATAGCATGGGTAATGAATTGAGAGAGTAACTACATACCTTCAGGAAGAACCTGCCCGATAAAATAATCCATTAGAAAAACTGGCAGTATCCTCTGATCTATTGCCCGCAAAGCTATGACTTGATAGAGAGTTTCATTCCCTCTGCTCAGCACTCCAGAAGAAAATCAGCACAATTTAAATATTTCTCAGGATGTGACAGCTCTCTAGATCCCTGGCTGCATTCTGTTCCCAGGGGTTGACAATCTGGTGTTCCAGTGTGCATAGAGCAGTGAAGATGAATTGAAAAAGCTTGAGATAAATTAGGGATGGCTAAGTTAAAATTGTCTCTGCTCCCGAGTCTCTCATCTGCAGTCTGCAAGCCTATTTTGCTGTGAAAAAGCTAGATGGCAGGCTGCCTCAGTGAGTTCTTCTTAAGCGACAGGGAGCATTTTCAATGAAGAAAAATTCTCCCATTATCTAAGCTAATGTGACTGCAGCTAAATCTAGTCTTAAAAGTGTCTACTAGCATGAAATTCATTCTCACTGTTGCTTTCCTTCAAGCCACAGGTTAAAAAAGAGAAAGGGAGGAAAGAAAAAAAAAAGAAAAAAAACAACAAAGCAGCATCCTAGATTTTTCTATCTGAAAGAAATACTCAAACTTTTTTAAGTTGATAAATGGCAGCATATTTCACAGTATAACTATGCCCAACAATCTAAGTATTGGAAATTATCACTCTTTCCCATATTTTATCTGCTTATATTCAGTTAATTTTTCCACGACCTGTTCTTTCTTATTTGTTTTTAATAGTTATCATGTCTTTTTAATTAGTTTCATTTTCAATATTCCAGGAAAGAAAGTGGCAGTATTTTCCCCTTGTTGACAAAAAAATGAAGTGATGGCTAAAATTCTGAACAATTAATGTGTTAAACCTTAGTAGATAATAATAAAAAAAAAATTATTGGTGTTTTGCAATGCCACTAAAAAATATTGTGTAACAAGTTGTTCTTTAATTATGAACCATTTCTCTCATTGCACTAGTTTACAAAAAGGTACAATTGAAGTTTTCTGAATATCACTTAAGTGCCAAAGCTGTTTGACAATGTCATTAATTTCAAGCTGTTTTGTAAAAAGGTGTTACAGTAAAAACTCTAGAGCAAGAGTTTATCATAAACATATTAAATGAAGTTTAATATTTTATCCTGTCAAACACTGGAGATACTTTAATAAAAAAAAGGGTATAGTTTCAAAGAGCCACAATCAGTCATGCTTACTAGTAAGCAGGCATTTTTGCAAATCCTTTCTTTAATTTCAACTGATATAGTTTTCTGAAGTCCTAGCTGTCAACCACAAATTACTTTCTCAGGCCTGATTTCTCAATATAATGGAAATTCTGCTGTAATCCATTTATGAAAACATGTTTCAATACATCAAAAGACAGCAGCAGTATCATGGGCAGAGAATAAGAAAGGTGGTCATGGAGTGGTACACATTGTAACTTTGCGGCGTGTTACCTACCTGGGTAACAGAAGTTGTAATTCCTTTAACCTGGGTACCTTAGAACTCCGGGAAAGTTAATTTCTAGAAGCCAAAGTTATACACTGGGCCTGTTTAATTTTTAAACTTAAATAGCAGTGCGATTCCACTACAAGGCAGATTTCTAAAGAATATTAAACCCTCCCTATATAATAGGATACACTAAAAATTTATATTTGACTAAATCTTCAGAACTACTTCATTCCTCCAACTGATGTATCATTAAGTAAAAGAACTCAATTTAGATAATGTTTGTCTTTCCTATTTCTCTGTCATTCTTCACAGGAGACAAAATACTCGTTAATAAATTCAGAATATTTTCTCCTATCTTTATCCTGCCTGTCTTGCATTAGATTTTAGTAGCAGAGAAAAACTTCTAATGGGGAACTCCAGTGGGATTAGAGATAGGCAATTCAAAGATGAAAACTTCAGTGACAGAAAGTGAGATTTTTTTCTACTGTATATTTTATTTTTCATATATATATAATAACTTTGAAAAATCCACAATATGTATGCATATAAATGCTTAGTAAACTTTTTGAAGTCTCTTTTTCATTATTGTGGAATGAACTCGCATAATTGTAGCTGCTTCACACATTTCTTCACTGTTTGTAGGATATAGTTTGTTGCAAGTTTTCTTCTTTTAGATTCATAAAGGATTAGGTGCGGGTGAAAATAAAACATTTAAATAAAAATATTTTGCTAATCTTAAGAATTACTAGTAGAAAGTGTTGTCTTCCATTATGAGTGCACCTTAATGTACTTCTGCCAATGGTTTTCATTTACTAACCACTTGTAACATGGAAAATGACATCCAATATAGAAGTATGTAAACCTGAAGAAGAAATTGAGACCTAGGTCTGCTATTCGGGTTTGACTCGACAACTTCAGTGAGAGAATCTACTCAAGTCTCTCTTCAAACTTCAGTCTAATGTTATGTAGTTCCCAGAGGAAAGCAAATAAGATTTAGTGAGGAGAAGGCTGGAAATATATGGTCTGAATACGTTGATGTTCATTATCCTTTTTGATTACTGTAAACTTCCTGTTTTTCTAGATTACTTCACTACATCTTTTAGAAAGACAATAGAAAGAAAATTATGTTGAAATGCATGATATTAAACAGTAAGGGTTTGGGGTTTTTTTACTCTCCCCAAAATAAGCAGGTAGATGGATTTTCCTGCTCTCTTTCCTTACAACATTTGTACACTAGCAGAAGACAATAGAACAATTATATTCTGAAGATGATTTAAGTATTTGGCTGTCCACAGATAAGTACTTAATGCTCCCCCCCAAAAAAGTCAGTTGGACTGTATAACATTTTGCCCCCAAACAACTATATTTTTATGTACCAAATTTAACTTTAATGGAATTCTCTTTAAAGAATATGGGTGAGAGAAGGAGAATAACAACAAATTGCACACATACTCAAATGAAACATACACATATATTCATTTAAATGCAGTGTAGAGAAAAGCTTACTTTACTCTCCCAGTGCTGTTTCTACTATGGAATAAATTAATATGGCAGTTTCCTTCTCAGTAGTAAAAACAATATTGGTTCTTTCACAAATAAGTTGCTTGTATATTTAAAAAGGAACTAATTTCTTGCACACAGATTTTGTTTGTACCTCCACAGACTTCTAAAAATACTTCCCCAACATCACAATCATGCAGGTCTTCTCTCTCACTTCCCTGCCTTCCCCCACCCAAAATATCACAGGTTTACTATTTTATTGTCATGCTCTTGACACTTTTTAAAGAATATTTTCCTTACAAGCAAATTGTTTTTTAAGCAAACAACTGTAAGCACTCTGACAGCACCTTCTCTTTAGCACCGTTTTCATCAGCACCTTGTTGCAGATCAGCTTCAAGTAACCATTGGAGCAGCTGTGTGGGGAAGATTAATTCAGCTTCTAATCAAAAAAGTGGAGGTAGAAACATGAGGAAGCTAACATATCTCACTTGGTCATCTCACATTTACTGTGACCTGTTCCTTGTCATGTTCTACTCACCTAGATCAAGGAATGGTTCAACTTGTGTCATACACAAGTTCAGCAGAGCACCAGTGTCACCCTCAGAATAGCCAGCAAAAATTTGCTTTGGAATTCCTTCTAGTGCAAAAGTTTGTCCACATCTCTATTTTGTAGTGACCCATTAAATATATTTCATGGACATCCTTTTCAACTGGATGTGTGGACCCTGAGATTAGCTCACTTGGTTGGAACATGGTGCTAATAACACTAAGGTTGTGGGTTTGATACCCATATGGTCCATTCACTTAAGAGCTGGACTTAGTGATCCTTGGGTCTCTTCCAACTCAGAAGATTCTGTGATTCTGTAATTATGATGGCATAGTTGTGAGACAGTGCATCCTCATTGACCCTTCTTGAGGAATACTACTCACTGCTGATGCCATCTGTAAGCTACTTGTTGAAACTAGAAACAAAAGTGCCTCTTCATATTCCTGAGCACCATGGGCTCCCTGTATTCCATGATATTCAGAGTTATGCAGAGTCTGGATGCCACTGCAACATATCTTCAGTGCCCAATAAGCTGCATGATTTCATGCTGCTAGGGAACTGGAGGTAAAAGGAGAGAAACATTTCTGTAACCAAAATGCTCTCAGCTAATAGCTTTGCTTTTTAACTAAAGGCAAGGCATCCCAAACTATGCTTGTTGTTGTCTGGGGCAAACACTTCATGAGAACAGGGAAAAGGTCTTTCTGATATATATATTCTCTTTCAAGGATTTTTTGCAAGGTCCAGGGTGTGGATCCTGAAGCAGTATCAGAGACAATGGTCTCTTCAAAACTCTACCATATGGCATTCTCAGACCTCAGCATGCCAAGGTCCAGCCAGTTGATAGGTTTAATGGTGTGCTTCCACTCAAAGAGCTTTTCACATTTTCCAAAGTACATCTTCCCTGAGGTCTAACTATAGCTTGGTCTTCAAACCAAACACTGTCACCTTTCTTAATCATATGCAACACTGACACCCATCAGCAGCGTAGGAAGCAAAACTCAATAAAGGTTCTGTGTAAGCCGTGCTTTTCCCTTTCAACACACACCTTTTGTGTCCTGCAGGCAGCCCCTTTATTTGCCAGTAGACAAGTGGCAACAACAATATAACTGTCTATTAATTTTACATGTATTTTTAGTTTCTTTCTTTCTTTTTCTTTCTTTCTTTTTCTTTCTTTCTTTCTCTCTTTCTCTCTTTCTTTCTTTCTCTCTTTCTTTCTTTCTTTCTTTCTTTCTTTCTTTCTTTCTTTCTTTCTGGCACGATCCTTTTCTCTGCCTTATTCCTTGAGTCTCCATATGGACAATCTCTAGTATAATTTTGAAGGTCTACACAGAAAGCATGGATGAAAGCAACTAATATTAAGCAACCTTGTCTGAAGAAGGTTGACCATGTCCTTTTAAACAAAAAGGAAATTATCCTTCTCCTTCAACTCTGGACTATCTTGTTATCAGTATTATAAAACAAACAAACAAACAAAAAAACAACAACAAATCCTCAAAACAACAAAACACAAAGGATACAAATTTTTAATACTACATTTATTATTATAGTCTATTATAAATATTTAAGAACAAATATGCTGTATTTACCATAAATTTAAATGAAGTTACATATGTGATTTTATTAATTATCTTAGCTATTATTATTTATGCAATTCATTTTCATAAAATAAGACACAGCAAGTAGAGTCATTTTATTCTTGATGCATTTAATACCTTATATTGCTTTAAAGCAACTTCCCCCTCCCCTCCCTTTAGTTACAGTTAACGTAGCACATTTTGTGTGGGAGATCTTTCACCTGAGTGCT